CTCTCTCTTAGTATATAAGTATAGTATATTACAACGGCTACTTCTTCCCCATTGGCCCAACGGGCAATGGCTACTTATGCGATTTTCTCTCTCTCAAGCTATAGATTATAAATATATATAACATATTTACATATAATATATGTATATATAATAATATATAGTTACATAATAATTTATAAGTATATACTAATACATAATTATATAAAATATAATAAATTTAAACTAATTTTTAGCATTTTTTATCAAAAAAAAAAGAAAAGAAAAAAATTGAAAAAAATTCCGGGCCGGCCCGGGGTACCCGGGTCCGGGCTCCGGTTTTGCCCGGCCCGGGCCCGGATTTCCGGGCTGGGCCAGGCCGGCCCGGCCTGGATGGACAGACCTAATTATATTATAAATAAGCAATGTGAAATTGCGCACTTAGGTAGATTCATCTTAGATGAGGACATAATTGCACTTATCCGAATTTGATATACTAGTATGCCACACGTGCGTTGCACGTGATGCATGTTACGAAATTAATTGGAAGGTTAATTATTTTTCACTCACCAATTTTACAATTATTTATTAAATACATTCTTCACATAGAATATATGATTCAGGTGCATGCTATGTCGCAAAGCTTTCTCTTGAATATATTAAGAAACTTTCATTTCTATATATCAAAAAGTATATATTCTAAATCATCTATTAGTGCAAATTTAGAGACTAATGGACATCAAACATCAGTTGCATCCCCTGACAATTTCACATTTGAAGAAAATAGGAAGAGCAATCAGCTTCCCCTAGAGAATCATCCTGAGAGGAGTCCAATCACAAATACTGCACCGAGTGAGATTCGAAGCCTGGAATATCCTTGTCAAGAGAATTTGCAGCATAATGTTGTAATAAATTTCAATAAAAAACTGCTACACCTGGAAAAACAACCGAAGAAGTTGTGTTTTTAAAACTTAAAGACAGCAAGGAAACAATATCACACTCTGATCAACGTGAAGGAATCGAAGATCACGTGAATCATGCAGAACATTCAACAAGAACTTCTGAACAATCTAGTGTTGCAACACTCAGTTTAAGAATCCCTGGGGATGATGATAATGGATATGATATTGATTTTAAAACCACGGTCAATGCACAGGATGTTGATCCTGCCGATGCACTTTCCCAAAATTCAGAATCTAGATCATTGAAGATGGAATCATATACATGACTATTATCCAAATATAGGCTTTACAAAATGAATTGAAGTAAATTGGACTGAGACAAACTAACATACTTGTCACATGTGTCTAATTTCTGTACTCTGATGACATGAGAGTATTCCCCCGATATGCTAACATACATACTTAACTAACCATTCCAAGCTCTGCAAAACAATAGTTAGTTTCAGTTCAACCGAAATTGCAATCAAAATTGAATTCTTGTTGGAAATGGAAATCAAACTGTAAATATCTCCAGAAGAATATGTATACCTGAATACACTCAGGTAGATCATCACTCTTACTGCGCACGTGCCGCTGCATCAATATATTAAGAAACTTTCATTTCTATATATCAAAAAGTATATATTCGAAATCATCTATTAGTGCAAATTTAGAATAAATACATATAGCATAATCTAAACGTCCCTTCTACAGAGTTGAAAATCATAATGGTATACGTTACACACAAATGATAATCGTTGGATGTTGTCTTTATTTTCACGTAGTTTGATAACACTCAAGTCACTTAAATCTTTACATAACACGACTGCAAAATAATGGCTGCACTATTCAGAGCCTTTTACCTAATGCCTCCAGACTATGAAAGGCAAGTACAAAGGCTAGCTAAACAAATTCAGACCCATAATTATGAAAAAAGAATGAAACACAATGCATGCTACTTTTTTCGTTCCGAAAAATAATCAAAGAAATGGAGGGAAACATCATACCCAATGCCCTGAAACTGAAGGTAGATTGAAAAAAAATCAAAGAAGATCTACTTACTTACCAGCCGACTCTCTCCCATACTATTCCCCAGTGGTTGGGTCAATCATCAAAGAGGGTATATGTTCAACCTTATGCCGATCAGGTCCCATACTACTAAGTCTTCACATGATATTTGGTTGGAAGCCATTCATAACCAAATTCTTTAGGGAAGACAAGTGTTTTAATCCAATCGGCAGTTTCATCAACTTAATGCAGTTTTTTGTCCTTAAATCAGTAAGGTCACTCATAGCTCCACTTTCAATTCTCCAGTGACAGATGCATCTAATGTGCGAGTAATGAGAGCATCTACTTGTTACAAGGATGGACCTCTTCAAGCCTAGTAGCATAGTGACAGACACAATGCCGAGTAGTTGCAGGTTTCTTTCGGTCTCAAATTACTCCCTGCTGAGAAATCTGTCCATCAGGCTCACAGTGAAGAACAACGTCTCAGGTTGCAGCTCTATCTCCTGCGAATGCTGCAATTAATGACAACAAAAAAAGGTCATCCTCCTAGTATCCTATTTCATGATTAAAAATGCCATGCATCAGATTTAATCGTTTTAGTCTTTTCCATGATTAATTTGGTGACAGCTTTTCATCACTCAAAAGAAAATTGGCAACAACTTATAGGGGTACAAATGAAAATTCAATAGCATTTTGCTCGCTAGAAAAGTCCCAATAATCATTACGACAATAACTTTGCCTATCGTGTTCTACTTATTCCCCAAGAAATCCCGTATTACATATTTCAACACACATAGCGATTACTGAATAGGAACAGAGAAAGTAAACCCCAAATTCTAACAACTAACCAGTTTCAGTGTAGCATTTTAAGTACATAACTATAATATAAGTCTCGGCACTATAGAGATCATATTGGTTGTCGCGAACCTTATAACATGATAAAGCAAGGAAATATTGTTAAATGGAAGGTTTATGTAAATTTCAATTGAAATATGCTTAACAATATTGTGGCGATGCAAGTTTAGCTATAAATGCTCGTAAACCTATTATTATAATAAAAACTATTTACAGAGTACTAAAGTAGCATCAGACTTGTAATAATTAACCAAAAAAATACAAGATACAAGTGGGAGATACGCACAGCACATCAATACATTAATTAATTTCTTGCCATATATATTTCTATGGTTAGTGCAAACTGTAATAATACACCATGCGGAATATCTGAAGTATGGAGGGAATAAAATTAAAAAAATAATAAAAGAGTATCTGATATCCTTGGGTAACTGAATATTTCAAGTCTTTATCATAGAAATCTCAAGCACAAAAAAGTAGTTCAGTGAACAAGTAGCAGAAGTTCATGAAGTTGTAATGACGTACATTACTTTGTTTAGCTTAATATTAGCCTACCATAAATTGACAAGTCCCTAAAACACAGTCACCCTTTTCGAGTAAACAATTCCCTGTTACATGAGCTGCAGAAATTTCACAACTGTGACCATTCTAAGCTTTATATAATTTCCTAAGAGAATTTTGTTGCAAGAACCTCATGCTATATGGGAAAACTTGAGAGTTAAACATAGTTGTCTTATAGAAGGTTACACAGCCAGACCAACTTTGATAGGAACAGGTAGAGGTAATGAGATCATTAATGTTACTGTATGTTTGAGATAATGAAAATTATATTAGATGCTTACCACTAATCAACGAAAACAAGCATGGTATTCCTGTAAATGGTGTATATGGACCAGCAAAAGAGACATTAGAAATCTGAAGCAACCTCCTAATTGAACATTAACGCCGCTAGCATTTGACGTTTGAAAAAACAACCAAATATATGAAATGATATTATGAACATCGTCTTTTCATGCCACAACACATCAAGTAACAATAAAAAAACATTCAACTTTCAGTTTTTAGACAGATTTGAACATCAAAACCTACAATAATACGGTGGCTTCTAAAATTACATATTTGAATTAAATATTTTTGTTTTCTGAACAGAATTGTTGCATCTTAAAACCAACAGCTGCAAGTTGGGCATTCAATTCAATAGTGGAGGAACCAATATGTTCTACTGAGACATTTTAAGTTTCATCTGAAGTCTCACCATCCAATACCAAACAAATCAAAAGAAGCATAAAGTAAGAAGTTGAATCTGAGAATTAACGCTTCTAAGCTTCCAAAACTTTGGATCAATAAATTATAAATACATATACCAACTCCTATGGCTGCTCAAAAAAGTATCTGCTTTTATGTTTTAGAATCTGGTTAGTCATTTCTTGTTCAGTCTGATCAGCAAAATTAACTACGCAAGTTGGGCAACCATATAATCTATTCCTTTATACAAATGGGAGGATCAGAGAATTCCTGTTCATGCTACAGTAAATTGAACAGTAAATCTCTCCCCTCCCATTTGCATAGATATCCAATCAGTTTTCAAAATTCAAAACCTCCTTCTCAGACTTCTCACCCCGACCCAGAGACAAAAAAAAGCAAAAAAAAGGAAAAAAAAACCCTCGCTCCATATGAGCTCCCTCCTCTTCCGCATTGATTCCGCTGTCTCCTATCCTCCTCCCCTCCCTCCGCCACCTTCTCCGACGGCGACGCCATCTTCGAGCTCGACATCTTCTCAACCGACACAGATCCAAACCCTAACCCTAGCCCAAGCCCAAGCCCTAGCACCTCTATCCACCACAATTCCCCTCTAAACCCTAGCCCTAACTCCAGCACGAGCAGATCGTCGCTCTTGCTGTTCCATCCGGAGCACAACTTTGGCATCCTCGCCGCTTTGCTGGAGGATTCCAAGGCCAGAAGCCCTAACCCTAAGTTCCTCTAGCGGAAGCCTTCAATCCCGTCGGCATCATCATCGGCATCGATGTCGGCATCATCATCGGCTCCAGAGGGAGGATGCGGAGTTTTGGATAGGGAGAGAGACTATCCAGTATCTTGACGCCATTAAAGGTGAAATGTTTTTTCTTTTTTGTTCGTTTTTGATTGATTTGTGATTGATTGAGGAACAACCGAGTTCTCTCTCGACGTTTGATGAAGGAGAAGAGAGAATGGGGATCGAATACGATTGAGATTATTTTATTGGGTTTCTCCTCTTTTTCTTCCATAGGCTTCTGACTCCAAAGACCTCGATGACAAAGATGACAAGGTATCTCTTCACAACTCATTTTCCAGTTTATTTTGAATTTCTTGGAACATAATGTAATTTTTGAATTTATTTTGAATTTCTAAGGTATACCTTTACTTGCCCATTTTGATTGTATTATTTTGCGTGGGAGTAATTCTTCAATTTATAGTTCATGTAAAAGGATGGATTATGATTTTGTTTGTGAACGTGGTATTGAGTAGTATGTGTGGATCCTTAATATAAAGCAGAAAGTGGATTAAGAAATCGCGTATGCTGATTAGAAATATTGTTTGATGGTTTGGCATTTTAAAAACTATGATGAACAGTAATCTATAAACATTTACCCTCTCATTATTATTGTTTATTTAAGTTTGAACTTCCACAGGACCTCAGGCATGCACTCGCTTTACAATTTTTAGTCTATTTGTAGCTCAAGCTGGGGCTTCAAGGGTAATTGCAGTTCAAGCAAGCATGAAGATGGCTTCAGTGGCCACTCAGGTGGAGCTCCTTCATACTATTGTTTGGATGCGATCTTTGATTTTGAATTTCTTGCAAGAGATAACTGTTAGGTTGAACACTGTTAGGCTGAGACACTCAGAGGAAAACTACATGGTGCAATTATTCATTAGCTTTATGTTGTTATTATTTTCACTTTATTTCCTTTGTTATTTTTTACATATGGTTATTTTTTAGTGCTTATGCTTATAAGAATCCTATTATGATTTCACTGTATATTCAACTTACATGCAAACAAATGTTAGTTACTTCTAAAGTAGCATCCTCAAGTTTCATTTCTGAATTTTATTTGTGAATGGTTGTCATTCTTTGATGATCTATTTTGGTTGCATATTAGTTTGAAATTAGTGTTAAGTAAGTTTGAAAATATAAAGCACACATGTTCTATTTTGTACTTACCAAAGTTCTTAAGTGATGAGTATGCACTTTCTATTTTGTTTCATGAAAGGGGTTAATCAATCAATGTCTTATGGCTCTTTTCCCTTATTCTTAATCGTTTTTAACTGATGTTTCAGGGATTTCATACATGTGTCGGTTCTGGTGGGGAAAGGCAAACCCCAGAATGGTACATGGAGCAAGGCATAGAGGTGTGCAGATCTTGGCATGATTTTGTCATGTCTGCAAACCCCAGAATGGTACATGGAGCAAGGCATAGAGGTGTGCAGATCTTGGCATGATTTTGTCATGTCTTTTATCACATTATAGCATGCATGCTACATTCATAGAGGTGTGCAGATCTTGGCATGATTTTGTCATGTCTTTTATCACATTATAGCATGCATGCTACATTCATAAATGAGTGCAAATCTTCCTAAGAAACATGCAAGGATGAACATGCTACAAGCCTACAACAGTGAGGACATCAGGAACATACAACATGACTTATCCTTATGAAAAGAAAATATTAGTATACTTTCACTAATTAAACTATATTTCTATAACTATTCCGATCATTTGATAACAATACATCTTATGATATTAAAAAAAATCCTTGACTCTTTGGATTATCCGGTTTGAATTACATGTGGTTCCTCTTACAGATTGTTTTTTTCCTCATGGTAAGCATGTGTATGTTCATATTATGCACATCAGCCGAATGACGGTTCAAGATATCCAAACTGTACGTATACACACGTATACACACATACACGTATACATACATACATATATATGCTATTTCATCTTTATGTTCTTGCAAGCATCAAGTTCTCCATCAAGCATTTGCTAGCAATGTGGCCAGAATGACAAAGGCATGTGAAATTTGAGAAATTTTGGTTTGAATGAGATCATATTTTATTTTTAAACCCAAAATTTTATTTTAGATTAGAGACACTAACAATGCATCTCTCTTTAATTCTTTGAGGTTTAGGCTTCTCATTTGAGGTTTAGAAAGAGTTCAATGACAGAGTCAAAAGGATTTATTGGGTGAATGTTGGAAAATATTTTAATCTTAATGATTAAAAGTAAAAAATAAACCGTTTTTGAGACTTTAAGAACTGATGTTAGTAATTTTTGATATTTAATTTGTTCATTTTGATGCAATTATAACTCAAAATAATATGATCAAAGACTATATTATGATTAGGAAAGAGTAAAAAACTTCAAATCAGGTCAATTACTTCTAGAAAAATTACTTAAGAATTAGCGAAAGATGACTAATGTGGAACTACATCGCATTGACTGAAGAATTGGCGGTACATGAGGTTTGACTGTGGACAATTAGATCAATTTCCAAAAGAGAGGAGAAACAACTTCCTTTTTATCTTTGGTTTTGACTTTTGAGCAAGATTCACTCTTCTTGGTTCTTGCTTTCCTATTGCCATACATGTTGAAACTATTTGCCACAGTATGACTAAGCTTTTAATTGGAGAACATGTTGAAGTAAGCTCCTGAATCTCTTTTTTTGATTAATTATATATGCATGTGTTTATTTGGAAGTAATTTCAATGATTTGAAAGATTGATTTCAAAATAATTTTCAAATATTACTCATTGTTTAGGCTTTTAAGGGGCACAATTATTTTAGTGAGTTACTTTCTTTAAGATGTACTGTAGACTTTGAAGGTATGTTATCCATATTATTAATGAAATATGAAAAGTTTCTATTATTTTGTCTCTCTTTGAATATATTGTAGTATGCTCCTCCTTTATTTATAAATGTGAATTTGGTTCCTCTATATTTTCTTACAAAGACATTTAATTTGAATTTTCTGTAAACACGATACCTAATCATAAATTGGTTTTATAGGCACATGCCTTTGTGTGATGAACGAGCATGGAAGAAGTCAAAAGTTTGAAAACTCCTACAAGTGACAAAATAGTTGTGTGAATACTTAATTTATTTCTCTACATTAAATCTATCAAACATTCTCTCTTTCTCAAGAATTTGTTCCTTTAAGCGAATTTGCATGAGCTTAAACTGATGACTATTGATGTGATTTTATAGAAGCAACAAGTTTCATGTCTATGTTATACTATTTTTTGCACCTGATATGTGTAGATCCTTGGTCATATTAGAAGATAGTTTATGTTATTTTCACTTTATTTTTTGATTGTTCAATTTATGTTATTTTCTGAGATGATAAATTTTCTCATGATCTATTTGATGGTTAAGTATACATGAATACGTCTAGGGGTTACATTCCATGTGTTTGTAACTTTTTATCATTTGGTAATTGATTGGTAGGTTGATCCAAGTACTTTACATTTCAAACTATTCATTTAGCTAAGATTTTGATCGTTGCTAATACTGACAGCTTATGCAGGACTTGGGTCTTTCGTTTTGGGAAGTTCTGCTCTATCTCTTTATCAAAATTGAATGTCTATGCACATTAAAGTTATGGAAAGTATTTTCCAAGGAAGATGTCTCAATTCTCATGCATATGCTAAACCATCTGGGAGCATGCACCATGCGTACCACAACCTTCAACTGGAGAAACTTTATTGTTGTCCTTAAGAATATGAAATAAATGGTCAACCATTGGATGGCATTCAACATGTTCAAAACCTAAGGTATTATTGCTTTTTCATAATACGCTATTGTATGCATCTCTTCTTTAGCAGAAAGTAATCCAATCTTTGGTCATGGTTACATGCCTATTTTATGGGGTTTTGTTCTCTTCTTTGACTAAGAATATTGAGGGGTTAACAGCTCTCTTTGTTTTGATATGGTTGATTTAGCTAAACATACTTCCTAACTATCAAACAATAGGAAGCAAAAAAGAGTCAGTTTGCATTTTACTTATCAACCAAAGCAAAAACATAACAAATTTCTCCTGTTGAGCCATACTATTAGCCCTCTAAAAGCTAATATGGTATATTTAAAGTTAGAAGCTTTTTTCTTTTGGTCAGTAAGATCTCTTTTCGAATTCTCTTACTAAATTACACATGGGAGTATTTATGTGTCATTAACTCATTATTATAAATAAAGGCAACATAGATATTGTCCTGTTAGAAAGATGCACCTTTAATGACATAACCTTGCAATTCTTGAGTAGTTCAAGCAAAAAAGAAAAGTAAATCAAATTTGTTAAGGGAGAAAAACTGATGCCAAGAAAAAAAGAAAAGCAAATCTAATATTGTGTACGATTCTAATATTGACTTTCACACATTAGTTTGCCTATTTCATTTTATTTGTTTATTTTAGTAGTACATAACAGCTGAGTTGTAGCAAAGTTTCTCTTTATTTAATGTCATTGTTAAAAGGTGATAGTTCTTTTAGTTATCATATTTAGTACTATCTTATTAAATTTCTCATATTTGAGATTTGGCTGACTAATCTATAAGCAATTGTCTAATTTAGATTGACTTCTTGACCAGATTATAAAGAAAATGTGTGTGGAAACTGACATGTTGACCTTGATCTTTGTGAATTTGGGGATAAGTATTGAATCCATACTAAGTGTAACAAAGTGCAGATAAGAGAACATTTTGTATACATTAAATTTATTGAAGAATTAGTTATGTAGAAAATATATATAGAAGAGCATGTAACTAATGTGTGTTCTATTCCACTCTTGGTCAGTTCTCTTCAAAGTTTCACCAATAGTACATACACAAGATGTTGCAATCTATAGCAATTGATGAAGCTTTGATATTGGATTTAGCTAAGCTATTCCCTTATATAATACGAAAACCGATAGAAAGTTCCAATCATGCATGATTTCATAATAATCATTTTATGAGTGAAATGCGAGATCTCTTAAATTACAGTCGCAGCTTCTTGGATGTCAGTTTTTTCACAGCTTCTTTCACAACACCTTCGTCTCTGAAACTGATTGACAAAATAACAGGTAACAGTCTTCATAATTATGTTGCCTAATTTGATAATTAATTATAATCTACTGCAATAACCTTAAATTATTGAAATTTCCTTCCATGCCAAATCATAAGATAAAATTGAAAGTAATATTTTCGCACATTTATACACTGAAAAGATTGACCTTTATTGTGCTATTTCGATTTCACTTTTGAGTATTTACTTGATCTTTAGAAATTTGGTTAATGATGGCTTGGGATGGTATAACCATGAAGTTAAAAGCCAAAGTTTCTAAAATTCCTCAATGATAGTTAATGATCATTTTTAGAAATTTAGGAGGGCTTTTATTGAGGAGAAAATGAAGATTTCTTCTGCCACAATTGACGAGGGAATGAACTATTGATATGTGCTCAGATCTTAATATTTCCTCTAAAGTAATGAACTATTGATATGTGCTCAGATCTGAAGATTTCCTCTGTCAAAATTTTGTTCATTTTTTATTTATTTCTCTTTAATATTAATAACGAATCTTTGAAAATACATATTAATAAAGAGATTATTATACTTAGTTGATTTATGGTACTGAATTTTAATATTTGATAATATTTTTTAGACATGTTAATTATCATATTCCATTATTTTATTAGGTCATTATGTATGAGTTGTAGTAGTATTGTTATATTTGCACCATATAATATTATTAGGCATCTATTTTCCAAATGCAACTGATTTGATGTTCTTCATAGTTGCTAGCTGTAGGAACCAGTTTGTATAAAAATAAAATAAAGATCAAATAACATTAACAAATTGTATAAAAGAGGTGAAAACCGTGCTTGGCACGGGGTACATACTAGTTCTAATTATAATTGTGTCATAAGCGCACTATTCTCAACTAACTAATGAGCACTGAAAACATCCATTTATATCAGGTTTCCTTCTTAAATAAAGCTTTGCTTAGTACTCACTTCAAACACAAATAATTAGAAACTACAAATACAATTAAATTCTAGTTGCATTGAAACAAAGTGAAAACATCAGTTAAATCATAATCACAAATTATAAAAACCAACAAATATTTGAACACAATTGAGAATCAAGATACAAGTATAAAAAAATAAGATCAAAGTGTGTAATACCTTGCGGTACAGATTCACAACAAAAACCCAACCTACTAATTGAACGTTAACGCGGCTAGCATTTGACGTTTGAAAAAACGACCCAATAAATGAAATGATATTATGAACATCGTCTTTTCACGCCACAGCACATCAAGTAAAAATAAAAAAAAACATTTAACTTTTAGTTTTTAGACAGATTTGAACATCAAAACCTACAATAATACGGTGGCTACTAAAATTACAAAATACAACAAATATTTGAACACAATTGAGAATCAAGATACAAGTATAAAAAAATAAGATCAAAGCGTGTGATACCTTGCAGTACAGATTCACAACAAAAACCCAAGCTAGCTTTTTTACTTCATCTATGATCTGCTCTCAATTTCTACACTAAATTTTCAGGCCTTTCACCTATATTAGTTGAAGAAAAGCAAGCAGAAGCAAAACAATTCTAACGTATTAGTTTTTCTTTTTCCATCAAGAAGTTATGTAGCTGAATGCAAAGTTTTAGGGTAATGCCTTGCTGGTTGTAAAATTTGGTTTATCTTCTTGGATCCTTTTCTTTATTAGTAAAGGCTTACTTTAACCCAATACAGATGATAATGTCTTTTAAACTTTTCACAGTTGTTATGGAGGGGAATTTTTTTTGAAAGAGTATCTAAAGTATGAACGCCTTCATCAAAACTGAATCATCTAACCTCCTAATTGAACATTAACGCGGCTAGCATTTGACATTTGAAAAAATGTCCCAATAAATGAAATGATATTATGAACATCGTCTTTTCACGCCATAGCACATCAAGTAATCAAGTAGTCAAGTAACATTAAAAAAAACGTTTAACTATCAGTTTTTAGACACATTTGAACATCAAAACCTGCAAAAATATGGTGGCTTCTAAAATGACAAAAAACCACACATATTTGAACACAATTGAGAATCAAGATACAAGTAAATTTAATCAAGACACAAGTGATAATATATCCTTTTGTTTTTAACCGCTTTTAATGCATAATCAATTTACCTTGATAGCTTCGTACTCCTCCTATCAACCTCAGTTTCCTGACATCATCAATCGTCAATAAAAAATAAGGTAAGTCATGAACCAACCGACCAATCAAGCAGCAACCCTTCAATTGAAAATAAACACAAACAGTAATGATAACAATAATAATAAGAATAAACAAAACTTACAATTGAAAATAAACGCTGTCTTTGCTCCATCAAATCTGAATCACTAAGTTATTTTATACAACTACAAATAATGTGGGGCTGGAGAAACGGAAGAAACCGACGAATCCGAGAGGAAAAGCGCGAAGGGGCGGGGGTGGAGAAACCGAAGAATCGGAGATGAAGAAACGGAAGAATCAAAAGGGATAGGACTGTTAAATGAGGTAGAGGGGAGACAAGAGGGATTCAGCCGTTTCTCAGTGGTTGAGAAACGGAAGAGTCAGCAGGGGCAGGGGGCGCGAGAGTTGGAGCGGCAGAGGAGGGGGTAAATTTATTACAACCCTTGACTATTCAACTGGTAAAATAAAAAGGACAATTTAAGAATAAACAGATAGAGATATAGGATAAAATTATCATTAAGCAAATTGAAAGGGGTAAAATGGGTATGAGAAAGTTTTGACACTTGTTTTCACTTTTAGAAGTAGTAAGATAAGATTACTTTGTTTCGCATTCAATCATACCTCATAAAACACTGTTATAATTGTATTTGAGTTGAGCAAGTTCTTTCAAGCATTCCACGTTAAATAAGCGATGTGAAACTGGGCACTTAGATAGATTCACCTCAGGTGAGGACATATTTAAATAAGATTCATTGTCCCAAAAATATAATATAAAACAACTTAATTTGAGATTGTAGGGTCAAAAAATGTATGATTGGCTTTCTTGTTTTAAGAATGGGTTGGATCACTTGGTACGAATCCCTTACAATCACTCTATTTCGATTACAGAGGAAGAGAAGATATATTTGACTTCTCTTTTATTTAAGGTGAGTTCTAGGTGGCGAGATGATGCTTCACTCGATGCTTGAGTCGAGATTGCTTCCCGTTGACGATCAGAAATAGATCACGAACACTCCTCTTGGTTACTAAATGATTTCCGAAGTGGGATTTTGCCCAAAAGGTCCTCCCCAAAAACTCATCCCTTCTTCATAGCTGCTTGTGGCTATTTATAGAACTTTAGCATATAACTGACGTGCTAAAATCGTGGGTAGAGGGTGTAACTGCCACTTGCAATTTAGTCTACGTGGCTGATTGGGTCCTCATGGCCGTTACGACCGAACTTCACGTGGATGACAAGCCTCGTTGTGTGGTGAGATTCGTCAGATTAGATGAGTCTCAATGCAGTGTGAGGTCCATCTAGTAAGGCCAGCCTCGCAGTATGGCAAGCTTCTCCTGACGAATTTTGTCTTCACTAACTTCATCTAACAAGTTTTATCTTCACTGACGAACTTCGTCTTTAATAGCCGAGTCCAATTACATAGCAAGTCTTGTGAACTTCCTTTGACGGGCTTCGTCTTCACTGACAATCTTCTCCTCCAATGATGAACTTCAAACCTCGTTTCCAATGACGAGCTTCGTCTTTTGATGTCAAGCCTTGCTGCGTGGCGAGCATCATCTTTGATGTGGAGCCTCGTTGTGTGGCGAACCTCGTCTTTGATATCGAGTCTCATTACATGGCGAGCCTCATCCTCTGGATGAGCTTCATTGACTGAGACGAGGCTCGTCATTGTGATGAACCTCGTCATGTTTGGGTGAGCCTCGACACTCTTTTGTCTCTTGACATTTTTAGTGCCCACAATGCCAAATGATTAGCCGATGATAATGATCTATGAAGCTTAATGAGAGTGGAGGAGAGATAAGCTTTTTGACTAGCCTCTGAATCCCTCCTCCTTTCTTTCATGTTGATCATGCCTATTTATAGGCTTAGGAGCATTATGGAGTGAGTTAATAGGCTTTAACTCCCCTTAAAATGAGGGAGTTAGTGGTTATTAACTCTCATTTAAATGAGTGAGTTAGTGGTCATTAACTCTTCTTAAATGGGTGAGTTATTGATCATTAACCCCCTTTAAATGTAGCCTCTGAAAATGGTGACAGACGAGGTTCGTCAATAACGACTATGCACGAGGTTCATCAATAATGGCAACGGAGAACTTCATCTTCAATGACGAACTTCGTTTCTGGATGAACTTCATCTTCGATGACGAACTTCGTTTCTGATGAACTTCGTCTTAAATGATGAACTTCGTTTCTGGGTGAACTTCGTCTTTAATGACGAAGTTCGTCTTTTGAGGGGTAAGGTGTTGTTTGTCCTATTTAGCTGAGACAAACTTCATGAATTGAGGCTGAGGTTCGTCGTTGTGACGACCCTCGTCGTGCTTGTAGTAAGGTTCAACCCTCCTTCGTTTCTTGGCATTTTTTAGTGTCTACAGAAATTTACAATAATGATTAAATAAAAATAAAAAACAAATGTATAGCCATACATTTGCCCCACTTTGATTTTCATTATTACTTTGGAATGCTCATCATTTAATTAAAACCCAAATTCTATTGAGGGGTCTATAATCATATAAAAACTTGGATTTTTACTAGAGGAGAAGTAAGATAAAATGTCGTATTAAAGAACAAGGTCATGTTTTAATTCATATATTAGCTTATGCCAACATCATTGACCAAACAGTTGTTTTTTTAATTCATGCATTAAAGTAACTCGTACTAGCAACTTCGTGCTATGTTTACAATTAGTTTAAGGGTCTGTTCGGTTATTTCCTAAAAATCAAGTAATAGAAATGGAAAAGGTGAAAATCTCAAAAAGTACTATTTCTTTCATTTTCATCCCTAAAACTCACCCACAACATCCAATAAAATATTATTTCCATCCAACAACTCATCCACATCATCTAATAAAATATTATTTTCATCTAACCACTCATCCATCACATCTAATAAAATATTATTTTTATCTAACAACTCATCCATCACATCTAATAAAATATTATTTTTATCCAAATATCACTCAACTCATCTCTTCTCATCATTTCAAATCACTCATATCACCCAATAAAATATTATAACAATTCACCTCATCTCATTAACATTTCATTTCTTTGTTTTCATCCTAAAAAGTTGTGAAAAGACTTTTCTTAAGTGTGGGTCACACCACCCAATAATATAATGACAACTCATCTCATCTCATTTCATTTCTTATTTTTAAGAATGAACCAAATAAAAGAAAACAACAAACTACAGGAAATAGGTTTATTATAATTCATTTCCTTATTTTTTTCGCCAACCAAACAACATCAAAACTAGTTTTCTTAAAAAACCACTCACATCATCCAATAATAATATGACAACTAACATCATTTCATCTCCATTTTTTTTATTTCCTTTTTTTTAGCCAACCAAACACTCCCAAACCAATTCTTCATTTTAATAGTTTTCCATTTCTTTGATTTCCCAAACACTCCCAAACCAATTCTTCATTTTAATAGTTTTCCATTTCTTTGATTTCCCTCTTTTTTTAGTCAAACGAACAGACAAACCAATTCTTCATTTTAATAGTTTTCCATTTCTTTGATTTCCCTCTTTTTTTAGTCAAACGAACAGACCCTAACTAACTTAATCCACATGAGGTCAGTGACCTCAACATTTTAAAATTTAAATTTTGGAAAAGAACAATCAACTTTCAGGATAACGGTGATAACATGACAGAAAGCCAATTGTTTGTTTTTTTACGTAATAGTGAGTTCGTTAGTATTATAAATTAATAAATTTTTTTTGAAATTATGTGCCTCCTATAGATGTAGAAAAAATTACTGGAAGAAAAATGATAAGTGAAAATCAGTTGCAGAGATAAAACCTTTAAAAAGCATAATATATTATTGAAAATAAAAAAAACAGTGAAAATTAATTGCACATACAAAAACATATATTGAATCATTGAAGGGTATAAATTAGCCAAATATCATATATCAGGTGAAGTTAGCTACTGAAAATTAAACTAAACATGTATATAATGAGTATGAAGTGGCAACTTATTTTGCTAAATAAATTATCAAAAAATAGCCGTATGGTGAGACCCACCATGCTAGTCAAATATCTTTTGATAGTTTATTTTTGCTAAATGAGCTCATAATAACCGTCACTCCTGTTAAATATACTAAAATCTAACTAATGTATCACTTTTCCATCTACTTAATTGGTGCACCGCCTCATCTCCAAATCACAATGTCCCTTACACATTTTATAAAGTCTGTTGGCAAGTTGTCAGCAAAAAAGCAAAACAATAGCTTATTGCAAGTTTGATCTACACTATAAAATATCAGTTTACAATTGGACAAAATTTTGAAATAGATCTGTTTAGAAACATATTTTCAAAAATCGACCTCTTTTAAAAATATTCGCTATTTTCGACCCAGTTTTAGTCAGTTGGCTAAAACTAGATCGAAAATGACAAAAAAAAGTTTAAAAACTTCACGGGAATTTAAATCTCGTGAAATTTAAATTGTCATTAGCAAATCTTCACGGGATTTGAAATCTTGTGAAGCTTAAACTTCACAGGATTTCAAATACCGTGAAGTTGCAGGCCAACTTCCTGAGAGCAATCACAACTCCATGGGATTTGAAATCCACTGGAGTCGCGACAGTGCCTATATAAGACCCATGCGATAACAGATCGTGTTTACTTGACCCCCTCTCTCTTTGCTCCTTCAGCATCAAACCCTAGACCTATATACTAACCCCCCCGCTACCGCCGTCGTTGCCGCATTGTCCACCGACCATCATCCATCCCGTCGCCGCCATCACAGTCAGAGTTCACCGGAAATTAGGGCATCGACAAATTTTAGGTAAAATCTTTACATTTTTTCGTTTTTTTCCTATTTTTTTACATATTCTCACTATTTCATGACAATAACTTGTTTAAATTTAGATTTTAAAATAATTTTTGAAATATTTATGAATTTTGTGAAGAAAAAATAAAGAAATATGTGTATGAAGTTGGAGAGGAAATTATCCAAAATTGTAAAAGTTAGTGTATTATAAAGGTTTGACATTTGGTTAAATTATGGATGTCTAAAATTGATATTAGAGGATTTAATGATAAATAATATTTTTTGTGTTTTTCGTGTAATATTAATATTGGATTTTTTTTACTCTTTAGAGGTAACGATGAATGATCGAATCGTAATTTTATGTTCATATGATGGGAAGATTAGCTATCTCGAGAATAATATGCCCGTATATGAATGAGGTGTGACGAAACCATTATTTATATCAAAATCATATACTTTCGATGAATTGGTTAATGACTTACACAAACTTATATTAACAAATCCACGTGAGTATCACCTCAATGTGATTTGTAATTATCCTGTTACGGTGAACAAAACAAGCGGCATTCAAATCTCAATTGACTACGATATGAATTTTATTGGAATATCTCATTACGAGAAGTGTTCGGTGGAATTATTTATTGAAAAGCATCATAGAAATTTGGGCAAATCGGTGAATCACGATGGAGTATACTCTCGCATGTTGGAGGACCTTGAAGTTGACTCCGTCGGCTTTTTGTCTTCGTAACATGATATGGGATGGACACAGTTGCAACACTTGAGTGGTCCTTCACTTGTGGGCACTTCAAATGCTTTCGATAATAACACTTCTCATCAATATATAATGCCTTTCACAGGAGTGACGATAGAAGATGATAATGCAAGTGTCGATTCTGAAGATGATGACGAAGAGGATGACTTACAAATCAATAGCATGACGTGTTTTGATAGATCATGATGAAGGGGACAACCAATATATTGACTGATGTTACTCTAACAATGAGTATGTCGTGTTAGAGGATCCACCAACCGATGAACTTATGGAGAAGAATTGATTGATGAATCCACGATGGAAAGTATTCCTATCGGCACTAATTTAGATGATGATACACAAGGCGAGGACTTCTCATTCAAAAAGGGTGGTCTATTTGAAAGCTAGAAGAAATTGATTCATGCACTTCGTTTGTGGGTTATCCAAAAAAATGTCAAGTTAGACAAACAAAAAGTAATGCAACAAGCTATAGTGTAGTTAGTTTTTACTGTAAAGACGGCGAAGAAGAAGATAGTGGTGGACATCACGACGACAATGCAAAATATCATTGGAAACTTAATTCATGCTAGGGGTAAGAGTAGGCGGACAATTTAAAATAACACTATAACAGACTTCACACATGTAACAATACTCGATTAGAGATGAATCATAAACACACGTCTGCCTCTTTTATATATCGATTGATTTTGCCTAAACTAAGGAAGGATCTTGAGATGTATCATACAACAAGTGTCGTAAAGAGGAAGGAAATGATAAAAATATTCGGAGATTGGGATAAATCTTATGAGATATTACCACATTATCTTTAAGCACTCCAAAAAAACGAGGATAGTGTATGAAGTATCATCAGATTCTGTTGATGACGAAGATAGACGATCCACAGGGGTATTTTGGGCATTTGGGCCTTACATCGAGGGATTCAAATATTATTTGCTAAGTTGTGTATATATTAATTAAATCACAGATCAATACTTTTGATGATATTGATGCTGATATAAATGAGCATATCAATGATATTCAGGATCCGACAATGTTAGGGATCTTCAATAGGATCAGGCAAAGAATATCAAACACATTCCATAAAAATCATGTCGACGAGTTTGAAGGACGTGAGGACAAGTCACGACAATTTGGTCAAGTGTACAAGCGAAGACGTAGGACAGGTCAAAGGGCGGCACATGACGATGGAGCCAACACTTCTCATAACATGGCGCATGCTGATGGAGCCGACACTTCTCAGCCTCATACAGAACCAGATACTCATATCATAAAGGCTCATCGGCATGGACAGAGGGGACGAAGACGGGGGTGGGGGGGAGTGAGGGGAAGGGGTAAGAGAGTGAGGGGAAGGGGTAAGAGAGGGAGAGGAAGGAGGGGAAGACTTTTGGTATGTATGTGAAATTTAATAGGATGATTATGAATTTTAAGAATGTATATGGTTAGATTTTTGTTTATATATGTGATTTTCGTGTGTATTATTTGATTCATAGTTGAATTCTATGAATATTGTTGTAATTCAGTATATATCCGAAAATTTCATATTTATGGTTGGATTTTGATGTATATTGTTGTGAATGAGGCGAAAATTTTCATATATATTGTTGTGAAATTTCATGTACGTATATAAGAAACATGCACCAATTCTGTGCATGTTTGGGGCAAACCTGTAACTCCATGGGATTTCAAATCCCGTGGATTTGCAGGCCAATTTCGAGAGAGCGATTGGTCTAGGGAAGCTGGCATGCAATTTTACGGGATTTCAAATCCCGTGAAGTTTAAGTTTTACGGGATTTCAAATCCCGTGAAGATTTGTCCCCATGTACGTATATAAGAAACATGCACCAATTCTGTGCATGTTTGGGGCAAACCTGTAACTCCATGGGATTTCAAATCCCGTGGATTTGCAGGCCAATTTCGAGAGAGCGATTGGTCTAGGGAAGCTGGCATGCAATTTCACGGGATTTCAAATCCCGTGAAGTTTAAGTTTTACGGGATTTCAAATCTCGTGAAGATTTGTCCCCCTTTAACATAGTTGTTAATGACGGCTTAAACTTTATGGGATTTAAAATCCCGTGAAGTTTTTAAACTTGACTGAAACTAGGTCGAAAATGACGAATATTTTTAAAAGAGGTCGATTTTTGAAACTATGTTTCTAAAAAGGCCTATTTCGAAAATTTGTCCTTTACGATTTTACGCACTGCAATACTCCACAGTGAAGTCTAAATCCGATCTAAGTCGTTCAGACTCTCTCACTGTTATCCCCCAAAAACCCTCAGAAAACCTCGTTCTCAGGCCGAAAGCGACATCAAAATCCTGTGACCTCTCTTTTATCCCTAGCAACACGACGACGATGCGCGTCCATAGACTCCTCAGTCGCGCTGCCTTCGCTTATCCAATGTCAGCCTTCTCTCTCCTCCACTCTCCTCTCCTCAAACCCTCGTCTATTCTCTACTCCCACTCATTCAAGCTGTTCTCATCCTCTTTTCTCGCCGTCAGTCCATCGAAGAAATCAAAGTACCAGCAGCCTATAGCCGCCGTGCTCGAAGTAGGCGGCGTCAAGATCGCTAAAGATGGTATTGTTTTCTCACTTGCCCACTTTGAAAAATTGGATTTTGTTATTTGGGTAAGGTTGAAAATTTGATCTTGGATTGTTTTGTGGTGATGGGTTAGATGTGGTGAGGGAGAGCGATCCTACGAACAATGTTCCGGATTCGATTTTTGGGAAGTTGGGGATGCAGCTGCATAGGAGGGAGGATCATCCGCTTGGGATTTTGAAGGATGCGATTTATGGATACTTTGATGCGAATTTTGGGGGAAAGTTCGTTAAATTTGATGATTTGTGCCCTATTGTTTCAGTGACAGAGGTAGGAAATTTCTGTTTGAAATATCTATTGAGCTATCTTAATTGGAACAGAAATTAAGAAGTAATCACACTGGAAAATGAATTTACTTTGAGTTTATGAATACTTCCACTCTTTTTCCAGAATGTAGCTGGTGGCATCTTATTTAAGGTGTTTTTTGTTACTTAAGCATCAGCTATTGCTTTGGAATTTACTTGTGCACTTCATTTATGTGTGGTTTGCTGACTTGGACAACATCAAACTTCGTCGTTTAGGTTTATCTCAAAACTGTTGAAAGTCTCAGAAATTGTGAGCTGAAAATTTTGGTTGAGCATAGTTCTACTCTACTCCAACTTTGATCATGGACAAAGACCTTATTGTCTGGCAACTTTCTATTTTGTCATAATCGGAACTTCATTATTTGGGTTTATATTTATCTCGGAATTGTTGAAAGTCTCAGAAATGGTGAGGTCAACAATGATTGAGCATAGTTCTATTGTATTCCAACTTTCATAACGGACAAAGACATTCTTGTCTAGTAACTTTCCATCTGTCATCATCAGAACTTCAAATGAATTATTAATCAACCTGATTTTTAGAAAATATTACATTTTTCTATAAATGTTCTCAAGTTGTAATTGCTAGTTCAATCCTTAAAAATTCATTTGAATTTGATGAACATTACAGATTAAGGCAATCCCCTTTTGTTCAGTTTTTTTAGTTTCTTCCATTCATTTACTTTTTTGAGTTTGTTTTTACATAATTATAGTTAGAGTGCATCGAATTCCTTTAGCAGAAAATCATTCACATTCTATCCAAGTAAAATTTGACAATTCTTCTGTTTTTCCATTTAACTTCAATCCAAAATCATATTCCAATCCCACGTCATGCATCCATCTTTGTCTGTGTGGTCTATTAACTAATTATGTAGAATTAACTTTAGTTTACAGTTCAACTGATGGTTTCCTTCTTCAATTATTTGTCCAATATATTATTTTAGAAGACAACTAATTGATGTTAACCTTCTAGAGCATCTTTCTATAACTCAAAAGTTCATGCCACGAGACTGAAACTGTGAAACATGATACTCAAGAAGACATTATGAGTTCAAGATGATATATCATGCACAAGTATGCTTTATTGCTACGTATCATGATACTTTTCTAGACAATTTAGTCAATTTATGAAACTTGAGTATCATATCCTTAAGTACAACTCTTATATGCACTGATCTTTACATATTCTTCCAGAATCTGTTACTTTTGATTTGATCACTGCACATTTCATTTATTGTTGAATTGCATCCAAAAAATCTAAACATTTTCAGGTTTTGGTTCCTCGAGTAAGAAATTATATTTTGCAACATCATGAAGGTCTTGAAACTGTCATCACTTCCCCACCTCTACATAAATGAGGATGTGAACATTATGCATACATTTTTTTTGCCCATAACTTCTTGAGCAATAATCAGCGTGATTTATGTCCTTTTTTCTTTGTTAACATTTCTTTTGTTGCCTCTTCTTATCAAGTTATGAATTTTCCTAGTTTCTTTCATTGACTTCATCCACTGCATTTTCATTCTAGTGATGCAAAACATTACTTTTTGCAGAATTTTGACGATGTATTGGTGATCATGTAACCAGGAGTTATAATGATACGTATTATGTTGATTCCCAACATGTCTTGAGGTGCCATACAAGTGCTCACCAGGCAGAATTATTAAGGAAGGGCCATACTCATTTTCTCGTAACTGGAGATGTCTATCGTAGGGATTCAATTGATTCAACTCACTATCCTGTATTCCATCAGGTTCCACACCAGCTCTAGTTCTTGTAGCTGTCTTTGAATAATTCTGCTTTAGTTTTTGTTCCTGGCATTCTTTCTTTCTTTTTTCTTCTTAAATTTTAATGGTTGTCTAAGTAAATAGATGGAAGGAGTTCGAGTTTTCTCACCAGATGATTGGGTGGGTTCTGGCATAGACGCAACTTCTTATGCTGCTATGGATTTAAAGAAGTCTCTGGAGGGCTTGGCAAAACATTTATTTGGTAGGATCAGATCCTACCTAGTGATATTTCTGCAAATAAAAGCACTGGCGTGCTTATGTCCACCTTATACTTGGCCTTAGATCTTTAATGTATGTGATGTACAGGTGAGGTGGAAATGCGCTGGGTTGACACTTACTTTCCATTCACTAATCCATCATTTGAATTGGAGATTTATTTTAAGGTTCGTCAGTCCCCCGATCTCTAAACTATTTAGTATGCATACACACACACACATCTTCTTTGTTAAAACTAGATACACAGATGCTCGAATTCTCCTTGGTTTTCTTTGTTTAAACTAGATATATCAGGAACCGAACCATTCGGGTTCCTGATATTTCCTGATATTTCTTGTTTGCTTGTGTCCTTATGTTACACGACACTTACTTTCCATTCACTAATCCATCATTTGAATTGGAGATTTATTTTAAGGTTCGTCAGTCCCCCAATCTCTAAACTATTTAGTATGCATACACAGACACACATCTTCTTTGTTAAAACTAGATATACAGATGCTCGAATTCTCCGTGGGTTTCTTTTGTAAAGGAACTTATGCCTGGCTTGGTATGCGGGAATGAGTGGGAATGGAATGCCAATTCCCACTTCTCATTCCTTCATACCAAACACGACATGGTTTTGGAAACTACAAATCTCATTCCCACTTCTCACTATTCCCACTTTATGTGGGAATGACCATTCCCATTGAGATGTTAGGAGTTGGGAATTCCCACCTAATTGGGAATTTAAATATTAAAATAAATTGCAAATATATCATCAAGCAATGTGATTTTGGTTGTATAGGTTCAGATAACACGATTAGCATAAAAATATAACAATATTTGATATTAATTTTCTACGAACTCTTTTTGAAGGTGCATAACGTATTCTTTAGTATTTAGAAACCTTTATTTTCTAAGCTGTGAACTTGGCATTCAGTTGAAATTTATACCTTGGAATCTCAATATCTTCAACTAGATGGTTATTTGGTTCTGGCCTGTTCTTCAAACATACACGACGAACTTTTCGCAGTGGACGAATAATCTGTTCCTGATATTTCTTGTTTGCTTGATAGAAGTTGAAAAACCTAATTCAAAAATTGTAATGCAGACAGTTTTTTTGCAACTTACGAGAGATCACAAAACCTAAACATTTCTATATTATTGAATTGTTTCTTTAATTCTCACTTCAATAGAGGTTGAGCCTCCTTTGCTAATTTGTTCTGCATTTGTAATACTTATTTCTTTTAGGTTATTTATCTGGCATATTGGAACTCTTTGAATTTTTATACGCATCATTTGGAGCTTATTTATGCATCTTATATTTCATTCAGGATGAATGGATGGAAGTCCTTGGATGTGGAGTAACTGAGCAAGAGATACTAAAGAGAAGTGGGAGGATTGATTCTGTTGCTTGGGCCTTTGGACTTGGATTGGAGAGGCTTGCAATGGTTCTCTTTGATATACCTGACATTCGTCTATTCTGGTCGACAGATCAGCGTTTCACCTCACAGGTTGCTTTATCTTCAAATCTATTCTGGTTGAAGTTGATATTAAGTTGAATTTGGTATGTTACGTTTTCTATTGTCATCTTCTGTCCTTTTATGTCTTGAAGTTGTAAAAAGTATTGATTATTTCATGCTTTTGAGTGAAAAATATGAGAAGTAACCTGCTATGTTAAACTATGCAGGTTACTTTGCTTGTGATGCATGTTTGCTATGTTCATTTCTTCTGGAACAATCAAAAACTTTTTCTATCTGTCAATCTACTACAGACAATCTACTACCAGAAATTCGATGTGTAATCCAATTTGAAAAATCAGAATAATTAATTGATATTTTTTCGGACTTAGAAGCAAATATCTTGGCCTTTTGGGGATGTTTTCTGTTACGCATTCCTCACACTTTCATATTAAAAATAAAGTATTTATAATGGAGAAGATGGGTATGAGGCAGCGGCTCATTTTGCTAAATTACATAGTTATGGGGTGAGTCCCACCCTACAAGTCACATCAAAAGGTGTAGGCGTCACTACTTTTATCTCTTGGTTGCTCATTTTGCTAAATGAGCCGTCATCTCATAACCGTCAAACCCATTTATAATTCACATAGAGTCTTCCCTTTCATTTCTTAAGATAAAATCTCTGCATTTACTTTTATGCTACTTAACAACTTATAGAAATACGGCCTCCAACTACACCCAACTTAAGAGCAATAAGAACACATCACTAGTAACCATTGTTAATCTATTTCGCAGGTTGTATCGACCACTGCAGGGTTAATTGTGCTGTTAATTGCATTCAATCCACGATACTAAACCACTGCAGGGTTAATTGTGCTATTAATTGCATTAAATTCAGGATACTAACACAATATCCCATTTGGTGCACTTTTGTACAGTTCTCCAAGGGTCAGCTTGGTGTCAAATTCAAGCCATATTCAAAGGTAAGTTGATAAACTTTATGGTTTCAGCTGACATCATAGAATCACAGATTTTCATAAAAGCTTGGCAAGAATCTGTTAAGAATCAAAATATTCTTTAGCATTATTGATTTATTACTGTTTGGAAGCCATGCTGTTATGATATGCTTCTGTTGATGTTCATATTAATATATTATGAAAAACTTTGGTATATTAGAATAATTAGAATTAGTCATACGATGTCCAGTGAGCAAAGTGTTTGTCAAAGTTATGGAATATAATTAACCAATTAAAGCTTGTTCAAGGATGATATACAAGTTTGGTGTTATCCATTTTCTTTGTCTTCAGGCTGAACACTTATTTCTCCATTGTAGGAACTAAAATATGCTTTAGGTTTTACATTGACATGCATCGCGCAATATTGTATTCATGTGATATATCAAATATGAATGAAACTGCGTTCTTGGGTGTTTTTATGTTTCTGAGAAATCCTTCCATTGGTTTGCATTGACGACGTCCTGTGTTACTTTTTAACCTTCTATTGTCCCTTTTCTTCTTTTTGCTTTTGTTTCCTGTGTTTCTTTTCAAGGTCCAGTATGCTGGTTGAGATTCAGAAGTCAATTTTCACATTATTAACTCAATCTTTTTTGATGATCTATCCAGGATTTTAGTATTTCCTGAAATTTCAAAACAAGTATTCTTGGATTTCATAGAACCTCCATTTTATTACAGATTTTGTAGCCATGAAAATTCATTTCTTTTATTTTATTATTTGACCAATATTTTGCAAATATAATGTTGTTTTCTTTCACCAAGTTTTCTGTGTATATATAGTAAAGGACAATCTGAAAATTGAAACGTGCATAGTATTATTACTGGTTTTGTAGCCATGAAAATTCGTTTCTTTTATGTTATTATTTGATCAGTATTTTGCAATTATAAAGTTGTTTTCTTTCACTAAGTTTTCTGTGTATGTATAGTAAAGAAGCACAATCTGAAAATTGAAACGTGCATAGTATTATTACTGCATAAAAATCAATTGTTCAACATGCCTAGGTAATTCATGAACCTGATGAAATTTAAATTTATTATTCTTCATGCATGACTTTCAGTTATGTTTTGTAGTTCCCTCCCTGTTATAAGGACATGAGTTTCTGGATCAGCGATTCATTTACGGAGAATAATTTATGTGAAGTTGTAAGAGGAATTGCTGGTGATCTTGTCGAGGAGGTATGACTTTAAAGTTTAAATTCATTTTTTAATTCTTTTGTCGCATATTATTTTGTTCCTTTTCCAGTTTACGACAATATGGCTACTTTTGGATTGGGTTTTATTTTGGAGGTAATAACCCTTTATCCCTTACAATAAAATAGTTAGGCGTTTGGTTCAAGATTTTGGAGGGAATTAGGCTGGACTATTTAGTCCTTTAAATGAAATAGTCCTGACTTTTCGAACTAAATAAAGCTGGGGGAGGGTGTTATTGTAGTCCAGGCACTATTTCCCAATTCCCATTTGGTATTTAGACGCAAAAGGATCCTATTGCCTATTATCATTCCTAAACATTACCTCCCTATCCAAAATTGGTGGTTCCCTCGTTATTCTCTCCACGAGCGTCAACTTGAAACCATTGTGGTGATGGATATTTATTATTATTATCAAAGGACTTGTTCTATATTGTGAACACTGGCCCCTGCCTTTTGCTTCAGATTGTTGTAGAATATGAGGAAATAATGTAATAATAATGATATGGGAATTATTAATGTAATGTTCAATTGCTTGACTCTTGGCTCGTGTATATCGCACTTACAGAGAGTCATCGGATATGAGGATATTATCTTCGTTAACCTTGAAATCCTATGCAAATATTAATGTGTAATCTCAAAGCATATCTCCATAAAAACAATTGTGACACATTCAAACTTGCATGGGAAAATACGTTGCTCCAGCCCATATTGGAAATCTGTGCTTTCACCCCCTTTAACATTTCTCTCAAGGCCTTATCCTCCTTAACATAAAAGTTCATGCATCCATCCTCTTTGACCTAAGAATTCACTAATATTATTTAAAGTCTTGTAGGCAAAAGGGTATCGTGGACATATGTTCCCATATGCTAATCTTATACCACATTGTAATGACAAGTTTCCAAACATAACATAGGTATTAAAGGTGTTGATAACAAACCAAACCAAATAAATTATAAAAAAATTAACTTATTGTAGTCTAACTTATCATATCCCAGGACTAACAAGTTAAATTAATCCTGGAATAAAACAAGTCCCCAATCCAAACATGGTCTATACCTTATATCAACTGCACTTGCACTAAAGGTAGATTATGCAAGATCCTCCCCCTAGTCTTTGCAAACAGTAGAAAGAGACAACAAGTTCTTTTTTCCCCCTCCCGCTAAATGAGATCCTTCCAAATTTTCCGCTACCCTTTTTAATTTTTATCCTTTGTTAATTTACAATCACCTGCAATAGAACTATTTTGGCAAATCCATTACATTTTGAACCCTTTCACCATCTCTCTCACTTCTTTGTTCATCTTACCTCACTTTATTCATCAAATTAGACTAATTCTAGGCCCGCCCACCTAGAAAGGCAAAAACGCGACCTCCGATTCAAAAAAATCCATGCAGTGGTTCAAGTCATTTTGGCAATGGTTTGAGTCGAACAATGCATTGCACTCTGTGGGTCCAGGGCTTATGTCACGGGCCCAGGCTTGACAGCTCATTATGCTTATTTTACCATATCCTTCACATGTTTGAACACTATATACTGAGAAGACTCTTTTCTAACATCGCAAAAGAGTTTATCTATGTTTGATTCTGCTAATTACGATGTTTGATATTATTCTTGTATCTTATTTACTCGTAGGTAAAATTGATTGACAATTTTACAAACAAAAAAGGCATGACCAGCAACTGCTACAGGATTGCATATCGATCAATGGAACGCTCACTTACCGATGATGAGATAAACAAGCTTCAGGTATGTAGGAATTCTTCAGCTAGTACATTGTTTTTGGATGGCTTTACTTGATCAGTCTTTAATAGACAACCTTTGCAATTTGGGTGCAGTGGGATGTTAGAAAAGCTGCAGAGGATAAATTGAAAGTGACACTAAGATAAAAAAGTTGTCACTCTTAGAAGCAAGAAGTTATCCTCATTTATATCGCTAGTGTGATTGCAGATGAACAAGAATGTTGAATGATTGAAAAGAAGGCAAAATCAGTTCGAATTTGAACTACTTTCGTTGAAGTCATGAATGTTTTCTTGATACGAGCTTGTAAATTATTTTGTTTCTTTGCAAATAATCTCTCTCTCGTACACACAGGTTGTAATCCTTGTAACAACAATATTTTCAGGAGAGCAACCAGTCTGCCATTCTCTGTTCAGTGTAAGAAGAGGAAAACGTTGACCAATCTTATGTTTGATAGTTAAACTCCTTCTTCTTCTTTTTTTTAATTTTTTATTTACAAGGCGTGAATGATGTATCCGTCGATTCAGAACTGATATTTCATTCAAAGGTACATATTTAATATTTTTTCTGATAGTGGTTTTTTTTTTCCATTTGCCATGAATCATTGCAGATATTTTTCTCTTGGAATCTGCCTTGGACTGATGTTTCGATTGACCATGAACAGCTCAAGCTCTATGTAGTATTCAAGTAAATATCCAGATGATGGAATACATTGTTCAAATACAGAAGAAGATATCCTAAACTTCATCTGCAAAGGGAATAAATCTTTTAACGCAACGTTATCATCAATAACATATATGATCTCTATCTCAAGCCAAAGTGAATGCAATACTGTTCTTATTTTTGTACTTTCTTTGCAGTGAGTTTAATGATAAGAAAGAAAACCTTACTCATGTTTATCTCAAGCACAATGAATTTCATGAGACCCAACTTAGGGCCTGTTTGATTGGCCTCTTTTTAGCATGAAAGTTAAATGTATTATCTTGTTCGTTTGGTCAATTATGAGGTTGATGTGGCACTGAAAAATCCCAGTTGCCAGACTCTGTACAATTGAGTGGTGTTAGGGGCACACCACCCACCACAACCCCAACCACACTCCCCCCTCTCATTGCTACAGTAAACCTAACATTATTTTGTACAATTCCGTCCATAGCGAACCGTTTTGGCTGGATTTGCACGGTAACTGCAGGCCGATGTGGACCATGATTTTCCTAAATACAGTGATTTTCAAGGGTTTACAAAAAAGAACCAACCAGCCAGTGATTTTCCCTTAGATTCCTATGTTGGTTGCCTTAAAAAGTTCTTCACCAAGAAAGCCTTATGCATAGGACTATAGAGCCTTGCACAACACAACAATGGACCGTCAAAAAGTTTGGAATATTTGCAGTTGCACCGTACGTGAATGACATTTACCTAAATAAGCATGCTAAAGTTAATGAAAATTGATTTAGTACCTCAGCTCCATTTAAGACAAGCTTTTGATGGCTTGCCCGAACCCAAAGAAAAAAAAAAAGAAGCAAATTTTAGTTCGGTGGAATTAATTCCTTCATCAATCCTCCTCTTATTACGTGATATGTCCAATGAAAACCAAGCTTAGTCCCTTGGCAAAAAGGGCATTAGCGGTATTTATACAAGAATTAACTGTAATTAAGATGATTGCTTGAAGTAGTTAGTGTTTTTGTATGAAACTGGTTTTTGCTGCTGTTTAATGCTGTTGCTTTCTGTTAGTTGGTTCCTTTGAAAAAAGAAGAAAAGAAGAAGGAAAATCTGCAGGAAAAACTCAACATCATGTTAGCCGTCCGCTGATGAAAACTAAGTGACCTACGGGACTAGGGCCCATTACGAAGCTACGATGAAGAACATCTAGAGTTATATTCTGAAGTCAGAGGGGCCTCAGGAGAGGATACAGCATCTTAAAATTCCTTTCATCTTACCAGACTTACAAAGTCACGGTGATGGTTGAGGGTTACAAGGCTAATTAACACTTAAAACATCTTGTAGTTCCGCGAGTTTATATTTCCATATTCTCACCTGTTTTTGGCAACACTTATTTATACTTAAGTTTCTAAAAGCTACACTTAGTTGGCGTATGTTATGCAAACATTAGTATATTTCTCCGAATTTTCGCATGTGACATTCACAAGCTAATTTTAGAACATTTTAGTTTTCGATATTTATTTACAGCTAAACCATCACAGTTCTATTTTAAAAAAAATTGACAGGTAAATTTAAAATAGAAATAGGATACGTATGACAAAAAATTAAACGAATTAAGGTTAAAAAGTTAGCTGGAGGATGTCAAATGAAAGTTTAGAAGTTCGCATAACAGAGGGTACTAAAGTGTAAGTTTTAGAAACTTTAGAGTATAATAGTGCTGCCAAAAACATGGGAGTACATGAGTGCAAACTAGGAGAAACTATATAGTATCTAAATACATTTTAGTGAGGCTATAATTGTTTAAAAAGATGATTTTTTTCTTTTTCATAAATTGACCCACTTAAGTTCTATTGGTCTGGATACTAACCCAGTGTGAAAATATTTTGACTCTTTTGCTCTTGGGCGCTTTATTTGCCAAGAAACAAGTTTATCTTTCTATCTTTCTCAGAGCGTAAGAATGTCAAAAAAAAAAAAAAAAAAAAAAAAAAAAAAAAAAAAAAAAAAAAAAAAAGAGAAAAAAAAAAAAAAAAAAAAAAAAAAAAAAAAAAAAAAAAAAAAAAAAAAACAGTTGGGGGTCTATCTGCAACAATAAAATTATAGGGGTTGTGTCAGCAATTAGGTGATAGTATAGGGGAATTATCCGCAATTGATCATTTTTTATACTCAGTGGTAGAGAAATTCAATAAGGGGGTGTTTGTTTCATTTTTTTGGGATATAGGGTAGATTTCAAGTTTTTGGATGTAAAAAGGGGTTTTTTTTTTGAGTTTTGGTATTCTATGAACCTTGTTTGTTTCAAATTTTTTTTTGGGATATTGAATCCCCAAATTATAAAAAAATAATTTATTTTAGGATTTGTAAAATCCTCTCCTTGAGCTGGGATGTGGGCTGGATTTCTGACAAAACCCGCCAGTTCATTTCTTTCTCACTTCCGAAAACCTAAATCCCCCATTCCCATCACTGCTTTGGTTCTTCTCGCTCCTATTTTACCCGCCTCCTCCTTCCCGCTACCATATTTTACCTGTCACCTCCTCTTCCCGCTCCTGTTCATACCCGCTGCCTCCTCTTCTCGCCTCCTGTTCTTACCTGCCGCCTCCTCACTCTGTTACTCCAGTCACCGCTTTCCTCGTGACCCTCCTCTTTTACCCGCCAGTAGTCTTATTGACAATGACTATTGACGATTGTAGTCTTTATTATAACTCTAATCCTAAAACACTTAGGGTGTGTTTGTTTCAAATCCTATAATTTTAGGATATGGATTTCACATGGGATTTGAAATCCATATGTTTTTTAACATGGGTTGGGATTTCTAAAACTTTATTTGTTTCATCAATATTTTGGGATTTGGAATATTATAATTTATAATATTTTGTTTGTTTCAAACTCAAATTATAACATTACAAATTTTGGAATTTGAAATCCATAGTTGTAGCAAACAAGTTTTAGGATTATCAAAATAATAATTGGTGGATATAAGAACCTTTGGTGAGCTTACCTCTCACAAAAAAAAAAAAAAACAATTGTATTCAATTGAGGAAAGCATACTCATTCAAATTTATACTCTAACAGCTATAAACAGTCATAATTTAACCCGAGACAATGTAAATAATAAAATATAAAAATGAATGATAACATAGAGGCTCAGAAAATGATCATTTTTTCCAACACCTATATAATGAAATATCATTGTAGATTGCATTCAAATAATGGACTGCCTCATCTAAAAATTGCAAAATCAATATAGACTACATTTTCATTAATGAACGCCTCTTGTAAACAATAAAATTCCATTGTAGTTGGCATTATCAATATGTGACCAATCATCATAGCTAAATCCGAAAAACTCAAAAAACCCACAAGCATGAAAAAACCAGTCTGCAAACAAGCTATCAAAGCAACCAAGCGACCAAGCATGACCCAAACAAATAATAGGGGAAAATAAAACTTGTCCATACACAAGCAAGCCATCAAATAAGTAACAAACCCGCAAGCAGTTCAGATTGGACTTAAAACCCACAACAAACCAAGGTTGCAAGAAAGCCATCAAAGAATGAGTCTCACCTGAAACAAAAAATGAAACAAAAAATGAAATAAACCAAACCTCAGACCAACTCATATAACCAGCAAGTAAGCAAACAAGCAAGCCATCAAAGTATGCAAGAATGAGTCTCACCTGCAAGCAAACCATCAAAGTATGCAAACAAGCTTATATAACCAACAAGTTACTCAGCATGTTTGTTTCAGATTCAGTTTGTTTTCTAATGGTTGCTTGTGAACTTGTTTCAGATTGCTTCAGATTCAGTTTATTTCAGATTCAGTTTGTTTTAGACCAGCTACAAAAAATGAAACAAAACCTATCCACACATAAGCAAGTTGGACCCAAGAATACAAGCAACTCAGATTGGACTTAAAACCCACAACAAACCAAGACTGCAAGCAAGCCATATTACCAGCAAGTAACCAGTCTACAAACAAGCTCATATAACTAGGAAGTAAGTAGCCACAAGTAAGCTCAGACCAGCTGCAAAAAATGAAACAAAACCTCCTGCTGTCAAAGCAAGCAACTCATATAACCAAGGCTACAAGCAAGCAGTCGCAAACAAGCAAGATGGACCCAAGAATACAACCAACAACACCCTCATGTAAGCTCAGACCAGCTACAAAAATTTATCATAAAACACTCTTGCTGCTTAATAGCAGCTCATATAACCAAGGCCGCAAGCAAGCAGTCGCAAACAAGCAAGCTGGACATATGCAAAAATTGTTAACGATATCATCATAGCCGCAAATCCATACGTGACCAATTGTTTGTGGGAAAATTTGCAGTAAAAGAAATAAAGGAAAATTGATTTGTATTCCTTCGATCTCAATTATAATTTGGATTCCGATTACAAAAGAGAAGAGAATGATCTGGATTCTCCCATTTGTTTAATTCTGGGTTCTTCTTGGTAGCGATGGAGTGCCTCCCTCGAATGCTCGCGTTGAGTTTGCTCTCCGTTGACGATCTGACGTTTTGATTCACTAGAACGATGTCTTCTCCTCACGATTTGACGTTGTGGAAAACTTGCGTGGCAAATTTTAGAACTCTGAACGAGTTTAGAAGAACTCTGTAAAGAGTTGATTTGAACCGAAAGTTGGTTAATCCGCCAAGGCCGAAAGCTCTCAAGACTGCTCCCAAAAGATGAATGCTGATCTCTCTTTTGTGCAGTTTTGATCTTCAAAACTCCAAATCGAAGATCCCCAAGAAGAAGCCAAAGATCTCCTCCTCGCTGCCAAGTCTCAGATCCAAAAAGCCAGCCCGAACTCAATTGAGTTTACCCATATTTATAGGGAATTAAGGGGTGTAACCGCCCCCTTAATTCTCTCCATAAAGGGGTTGAGAGGGGTGTAACCGCCCCTTTAATCCGCTCCTAAGTGGGGCGGAAATCCCTCAAATCATGGAGAAAAAACGGTTCCTGCAACCGTCCAGCTCGTGTTTGAACGAGTCAAACGCCCATGTTGGCGTTCAGGACCCTAACTCCGCGTTTTAGAATGGAGACGCAGAGTTGGGTACTCGCTGGGTGTTGAAAAATGCGAAGGCCGCTCGCGTTTTGGAGTCTGAAGGTTAGAAACGCAGGGGTCGCCTGCGCTTCGTTTGCTGAAGGTTGGAAACGCGAGGGTCGCTCGTGTTTTGCTTGTTGAAGCTTGGAAACGCGGGGGTCGCCTGCGTTTCAGGAATTGAAACGCGAAGATGAATTCCGCGTTTTTAGAAGGAGCCAATGACTTATAGCTTCTTCTACAGAGCGTTGCAAAGACTATTATCTTGTAATCTTCATCTTGGCTCCTTAAAAATATGAGACTCGTCAGATTGTAACTCCCGATGTTAATTATGAAGACTATTGATTAAAGCTTTCATCAGTTGTTGTGAAGGTCGTCAGATTGTAACCTTCATCGATCTATGTAAAAGTCTTCAAATTATAGCCTTCTGGAAATCGTCAGATTGTAACTTTCATCATCGGTGTTTGAAGGGGGATCAACTATCTATTTTGATTTTTGTTTGACAGCCTACACCAATCATCATAGCCGCCATCAAAAACATGCTCAGTAACAAGCTCACAAGCAACCATTAGAAAACAAACTGATTTTGAAACAAACTGAATATGAAACAACCTAAATCTGAAACAAACTGAATATGAAACAAACTGAATCTGAAATAAACCGAATCTGAAGCAATCTGAAACAAGTTCATAAGCAACCATTAGAAAACAAACTGAATCTGAAACAAACATGATCAATAACAAGCTCACAAGCAACCATTAGAAAACAAACTGATTTTGAAACAAACTGAATCTGAAACAACCTGAATCAGAAACAAACTGAATCTGAAATAAACTGAATCTGAAGCAATTTGAAACAAGCTCACAAGCAGCCATTAGAAAACAAACTAAATCTGAAACAAACATGCTCAGTAACAAGCTCACAAGCAACCATTGAAACAAACTGAATCTGAAACAACCAAGCTCACAAGCCATAAAAAACATGCTCAGTAACAAGCTATAACTCAAATAACCAAAGCTCAGACATGCAACCATTAGAAAACTCATAATAGGACCAAGGTAGCGGCTCAGATATAGGTATTAAAGCTGAATACATGGATTGCCTCATCTAACAATGATGTTGCAATGTAAATTACAATCACAATGTTCAAGAAGTTAAGTTCGGGTGAAGCGGAACTGAAATATTGAAAAGCAAACTATTTTGTTACATGTGTACCACAAGATGCACGAAATATGACATCTTAAGGAAAGGTTGAATACACAAATCGAGGTACCATTTTATAACTCCGTACTTAGTAATACTTGTCATGGCACTAGGCAATACTTGTCACGACATATTAATTTCATGCATGAGCTATGTATGTGAAGAGGAAAAAAATATCCCTCATTAACATGTCCTTGAAAAACATATCTCATACCAAACAAAGGAAAAGGTTCACGCTAACATGATTAGTTAAGTGCATTTTTGTGACCATTATTTCATTTCTTCGTGACGATATTTAAACCAAATTAAGGCAGTCATGTTTCTATATGGACCATCATATAAACAACAGCTAGATCTTTGCCAAAAGACACATTTCTGTATGTAAGGGCAACTACCTTGTTAACCAAAACCAAGAAAAAAATTGATTTTCACCAAAACCAGGTATGATATATGCATTTAAATAGTATCAATTATAAAAACTATGCATGGATACCTGAATCTTACAACATTCAAATTTCATAAAAGAGAGTTGTACTTATGATAACTAGACTCAAGAAGTGTATGAGTTATAATCATCTTCAACTTTACGTTGCACATATGTGGTATGTTGTCAGCTCTCTGTTATTTCAGATTTTACATGTATTTCTCATCAAAGCTCAGCCGCAATCAACCTAGATCTACCCAAAATCAACCCAGATCTACCCAACATCAAAACTCAGCCGCAAAACTAAAACTCGGTATGCATCAAAACTCAAATCTACCCAAAAACGTAACTAGCCATGCATCAAAACTCAGCAAACAACAAAAATCAACCCAAATCTACCCAAATCATAATTATAAAACCCTAACACAAATCAAAGCAGATATTTCGAGAGAGGGGGTGCAAGATCTATACCTGCGGTATTTGAGAGAATCACCTGAAACCCTAGAATCCAGAATCGATAAAAATCCCCAAATTAGATTCGCCCAAATCTCAGTTTTGCCGTCCAAATACTCGTTCTTTACCAAAGATACAACTGAAATGGAGGAGGCGGCATGTAAAAGAGGAGGGCCACGAGGAAAGCGGTGACTGGAGTAACAGAGTGAGGAGGTGGCTGTAGGCTGTCTAAAAATCATAATAGATAGCTGATCACCCATCAAACACCAATGATGGAAGTTACAATCTGACGACTTCCAGAAGGCTACAGTTTGAAGACTTTCACGTAGATCACTGAAGGTTATAATCTGACGACCTTCATAACAACTGATGGAAACTCTAATCAACAGCCTTCACAATCAGCATCGGGAGTTACAATCTGACGACTCTCATATTTCAAAGGAGCCAAGACGAAGATTACAAGATGACGGTCCATCGGGAGTTACAATCTGACGACTCTCATATTTCAAAGGAGCCAAGACGAAGATTACAAGATGACGGTCTTTGCAACGTTCTAGTAAAAGAGACTATATATTTCAAAGGAGCCAAGACGAAGATTACAAGATGACGGTCTTTGCAACGTTCTAGTAAAAGAGACTATAAATTGACGGTCTTTTCAAATCCAGACGCAAAGCTCACATATGCGTCCCGGATTCAAAGCGCATAGCTCTTGGTTGTGTTCCCAGAACGAAACGCATAGGTCCTCCCTGCGTTGCCACACCAAAACGCGGAGGTCCTCCCCGTGTGTCAGCAACAAAACGCAGGGGTCGAACCCGTGTTGCAACATCAAAACACGGGGGTCAGACCCGAGTTGCAACATCAAAACGTTGAGGCCCTCCCTGCGTTGCAACATCAAAACGCAGGGGTCAAACCCGCGTTGTAACATCAAAATGCAGGGATCAGAGCTGCGTTTTCTGCGTTCGACTGGTTCAAACAGAACCTGAACGGTTTTAAAACCGTATCTCCACTTAATGGGATCGGTTACACCCTATTATGGAGAAATTTTAGGGAGGATTACACCCCTTAAACCCTTGAACAATTCTAAAACTGTTTCCCATGATTTGAGGGTGGTTACACCCCATTTACGAGTGGTTTAAGGGGTGGTTACACCCCCTTAATCCCCTATAAATAAGAAGAAACTCAACCGAGTTAAGGGTTGGAACTTCTTGGCTTGGATTGACACTGGAGCTTGGCAGCGAGGAGGAGATCTTTGGCTGACTTTTTGGGGGATCTTCGATCTGGCATATTGGAGCTTCTTGCAGCAACAAAGTTCTTGGAGCATTCCCTTGGCTTATTAACCGAACTTTCGATTCAACAGCAACAAAGTTCTTGGAGCATTCCCTTGGCTTATTAACCGAACTTTCGATTCAAATCAACTCTTTTTCAAGAGTTTAAACTCGCTCTGAGTTATCAACTCTTTCAGAGTTTCAAACTTACCACGCAAGTTCTCCACAGCGTCAAATCGTGAGGAAGAGATACCGTTCCAGTGAATCAAAACGTTCGGATCATCAACGGAGAGCAAACTCGACGCGAGCATTCGAGGGAGGCACTCCATCGCCACCGTGAAGAACCCAGAATTAAACAAAGGGGAGAATTCAGATCAATTCTCCTCTCTTTTGTAATCAGGAAATCCAATTGTAATCGAGATTGAGAGGGTTGTAATCATTCTTTTTCTAAGCAGTTAGAGAGAATAAATCAAATACGATTCTTTCATTATTTTTCTTATTATAAATTTTCCATCAAACAGTGGCGGGTAAGAACAGGAGGTGAGAAGAGGAGGTGGCGGGGATGAACATGAGCGGGAAGAGGAGTCGGCGAATAAAATATGGTAGCAGGAAAGAGGAGGCGAGTAAAAGAGAAGGGAGAAGAACCGCAGCGGTGATGGGAAGGGGGGGTTTAGGTTTTTGGAAGTGAGAAAGAAATGAGCTGGTGGGTTTTGTCAGAAATCCATCCCACATCCCAGCTCAAGGAGAGGATTTTACAAATCCTAAAATAAATTAATTTTTTATAATTTGGGGATTCAATATCCCCATTTTTTTTAAAACAAACACGGTTTATGGAATACCAAAACCCCCAAAAAACCCCTTTTTACATCCAAAACTTGAGATCTACCCTATATCCAAAAAAAAAAATAATTGAAACAAACACCCCCTAAAAGAAGAACAAGCTTCAGTGAATATTCTGTGCACTGTAATGATGAAGTAACTTCTGAAGCCAATTATAGGAGGTCCCCAGCAGACAATACAACGCACTACACATATCAAGCAATCCAATAGGAACCCAATGCTCAGTGAATATTCTATAGGAACCCAATGCTCAGTGAATATTCTATGTACTACGGATCATGTATTTATTTATTAACATCAATCTATAGCAAGTACAATCCTATTTGCTCTACTGAGGCATTGAAGACCCCTGAAGACGAAAATGGGTAGATTAATGTTTCACAGATTATGTCATGCGCTTTGCCAAGATGAGTAAATCTTGCCTGTGGGAAATCAAGAAGTGGGTTGAATTTAAAAGGGAAGTTAGTAGGTTCACAAAAGGGAAATAATGAAGGCGGTGAGGATGAGATAGTGAGAGGCCTTAAATTTAATGAGATAACCGCGAAAGCTGGTGGCAAACGGAGCTCTCTCCCCTAACCGCATGCGAGAGACTCTGGAGTACTGTTGGCTTTGTTATTGTATATAAGTGAGTGTTACAGAGTTTTATCATCATCATCAACTTCTTCTTCTACTTCTTCTTAGTTGGGTCCAAGATGGGGACTCGACTGCTCTTTGGCTTGTTGGCAGTGATATTGGTGACGAGCTTCATTTGCTCGAATGCAGAATCGAAGGTCGAGAGGTCTGCTTTTGCTTCCGGTAAAAGCGAATGTATTGACTGTGCAGAGAAGAATGAACTTGCATACCAAGGTATTGACACTCTCTCTTCAAAGTATTGTTCATTATCTATAGGAAAACAGGAGCTTAATTAAAAGCTTGCAATGATATTCAGATTATTATTATTATTATTATTTGAAAGAGGTACGGCTTTTAGTAGGGGGGCAAAGGGAATGGCAATGCTTATAACTAGTTTTGGATACTTGTTACTTGATCAAAACAGTTTTACTATTGAAATAGTTTGGGGGTAGGATTTTGCAAAGATTTGAGCTTCGGTGAAATGTACACAGAGCTTCTCTTAACTTACGCTAGTTCAGAGTCATGCTAACATCAACACTTTAACTACTGAGGACTAAAGTTTTCTACCATTTTGGTGCATATTCCCCCCCTCAGGGCTTCAAGTGGCCATCAAGTGCAAGACCAACAACGGGGACTACGAGCTCAAAACCTCCGGCAAACTCGACAAGAACGGCGACTACAGAGTCCAACTCCCCACGGAACTCATCGGAGAAAACGGAGATTTAAAGCAAGAGTGCTTTGCACAGCTCCACAGTGTCTCAAATGCTCCTTGCCCTGATAAAAATGGACTCAATCCTCACAAACTCATCTTAAAATCAAGGGAGGATGGTGTTCATACTTTCTCAACTGATGCCAAGCTTCCATTCTTATCAACAACATGCCAATCTGCCTTCTTTTGGACACACCACAAGTTCACTCCGCTTCCAAAGCCGGATCCTTTTCATAAACCATTGCCTAAGTTCCCTTCACCTCCATCTAAACTTCCTCCTAAGCCTCATTATTACCCTCCAATCTACAAGAAACCACTTCCACCCTCAATTCCTATTTACAAGAAACCACTTCCACCCTCAATTCCTATTTACAAGCCTCCAGTTCCTATTTACAAGCCCCCAGTTCCTGTCAAGAAGCCAGTGCCTCACTTCCCTCCTATTTACAAAAAGCCATTGCCTCACTTCCCTCCTATTTACAAAAAGCCAGTGCCTCACTTCCCTCCTATTTACAAAAAGCCATTGCCTCACTTCCCCCAAGTTTACGGAAAGCCGTTGCCTCACTTCCCTCCTATTTACAAAAAACCATTGCCTCACTTCCCCCCAATTTACAAAAAGCCATTGCCTCACTTTCCTCCTATTTACAAAAAACCATTGCCTCACTTCCCTCCGATTTACAAAAAGCCACTCCCTCAATTCCCTCCAATTTACCATAAGCCCTTGCCTCCTCTTCACAAGTTCCCACCGACCTATAAGAAGCCTCCTCATGCTTAATTCCTATACCTACTTCTTTCAACCATAAGTTCTCTCTCGCTTCATTTCACCCGTTTTCATTTCTTGCCCGTTATCTATGCCGGAGTATTATTGAATAGTGTGCAGATGCAATCTAAACTTATTTCAATTGCATCATAATGTGTGACAGGATTTGTTCTTCAAAGATTACGTACAGTGCTGTAATAAAAGATTGTTCTCAAGATATCTATCTGCTTGACAGTTTTTAGAACTGGAGGAGTGAGTTTGTTGTGGCTGTATCTGTTATATGTATATTTGCATTCACTCAATAATGAGTTATCTATTACCAGAATTTGAGCAACCAACTTCTATATTTGCTTTTCTCTCAAAAAAAAAAAAAACTTCTATATTTGCTAGATTAATACGAATGAAGTTATTTCTCCCTATAGAAGCATCATTATTTATAATGATTGGAGAAGTTATTTCACTTATAAAATCCAAAAACTACGCATCAAACAAAATATCAGCCCATTTCAACTCTTACTGTATGATATCTGGACAAATATAAATATTTTTCCTGTCTTAATTATTTTGATGGGGTCCGATTTAAGTTCACAAGGGTCAATGATATTATAAGGGGACAAGGACACAATATAATATGAAAACATGTCAAACTTTCTCCTCAAATGATTTTATACTATGATCAAACATTGTTCCCAAAGACATTCAGGATTCTTTGTAAACTTAATCATGGATGTAAATAGGCAAACCTTTCTCAATGTTCTAGCGGCTGGATATAACGGGCTCGCAAGCTGGAATATTGAGGAACAGGTGAAGAACATATTTCATTTATGTTCAGCTAAATAGCATGTTACAGTAGGCCATGTATCTGAAGACCCACTACTGTAGATGTTAAGAAATCTTATAGCCATGCAAGTTCAGTGAAATTTTCTAAATTTATTCTATCCAGATAACTTTTTCTCAATATGTTAGTATGAACAGAGATTGTACCCCTGAGACATTAATAATTGACTAAGATCGCGCGGACCCAAGAAACTAACTCATTAATTATAGGTCTAAATCACATTTTGAATAGTCATATATTCAACTTATTTTTAATGTACAGCTGGAGAACTAAAATTCTTAAATATTCTTTATTTCTTATCTAACACTATGT